TCCCTCTCCTCCTCATCCTCCCCAGAGCCCGGAGCTCTCCCGGCGCGCACCAGGAGATGCCAGGGGGGTCCTTTTGGGGTGTTCTGATCCCTTCCTCCTCCTCATCCTCATCCTCCGGGCTCTCCCTGGGACCGGACGATGCCCGGGGGTGTTTTTGGGGTGTCCTGACCCTCCTCCTCCTCCTCCTCCTCTTCCTCCCGTCACCCTGGAGCCCTCGCAGAGCCCACGAGGGATGGCGGGGATCCTTTCGGGATTCTCTGATCCCTCTCGTCCTCTTCCTCCTCTTCCTCCTTCTCCCTCTCCTCCTCATCCTCCCAGAGCCCGGAGCTCTCCCGGCGCGCACCAGGGGGGTCCTTTTGGGGTGTTCTGATCCCTTCCTTCCTCCTCCTCCTCCTTTTCCCTCTCCTCCTCATCCTCCCCACCCTCTGGAAGTTCCCAGCGCTCCTGAGGTGGTGCCGGGGGGTCCTTTTGGGATGTTCTGACTCCCTTCCTTCCTCCTCTTCCTCCTCCTCATCCTCCGGGCTCTCTCTGGGACCAGAGGATGCCCGGGGGTGTTTTTGGGAGGTCCTGACCCACCTCCTCCTCCTCCTCCTCCTCCTCCTCCTCCTCCTCCTGCTCCCCGGGCTCTCTGTCCCCTGTGGGGAGCGGGATGATGCCCGGGGGTGTTTTTGGGGTGTTCTGACCCCTCTTCCTCCTCCTCCTCTTCCTCCCGCCCAGCTGCAGCAGCTCGTGTACCAGCAGGTGAGGTTGGCCGAGTGCCAGATGACCGCCACCCTCATCAACACCTCCTGCAGCGGTGAGAGAAACCCCCAGCCCCAAAAACCCCTGGGGACCCCTCCCCACCCTCCTGGGAACCCTCAGAACCCCCTGAGAGCCCCCAGAACCCCCTCAGGGTCCCCAAAACCTCCTCCCCACCTTCCTGGGAACCTCCAGAACCCCCCGAGGATCCCCAGAATCCCCTGAGGGCCCCCAGAACCCCCTCCCTACCCTCCTGGGGACCCCCAGAACTCCCTGAGGACCCCCAGAACCCCCTCCCCACCTTCCTGAGAACCCCCAGAACCCCCTGAAGACCCTCGGAATCCTCTCCCCATCCTCCTGGGAACCCCCAGAATCCCCTGAAGACCCCCACAACCCCCTCCCCACCTTCCTGGGAACCTCCAGAATCCCCTGAAGACCCTCGGAATCCCCTCCCCACCATCCTGGGAACCCCCAGAATCCCCTGAGGACCCCCAGGACCCCCTTCCCACCCCTTGTAAACCCCCACCTCTCCCTTCCCACCCTTCTGGGCACTCCCAGCACCCCCTGAAGACCCCCAGGACCCCCTGAGGACCCCCAGGACCCCCTTCCCACCCCTTGAAAGCCTCCAACTCTCCCTTCCCACCCTTCTGGGCACCCCCAGGACCCCCTGAGGACCCCCAGGACCCCCTTCCCACCCCTTGTAAACCCCCACCTCTACCTTCCCACCCCCTGAAGACCCCATACCAATGTTTAGGGTCCAGAGATCCCCCAGCCTGCAGTCGCTCATGACCCCATAACCACCAACGATCCCATTCCCCTGACCCCAAACCCCTTAAAAACCCCAAAAAAAACCCAAAAAATCCC